GATTCAAGCTGTGTGAAGTTTAATAAGAATATAACTTGCCTCTGAGACAGATAACCCCATCCTCAGAAGGTCTTCTGCTAACTCCAGAAGAACTCCAGCAAAAACAAGGACAAAGTTTGTTCCATCTCCAACTTCTTGTTCTTGCATGTGTGAAGCCATCACAAGCATTTTCGCAGCAGGATGCTGGACCTTTGAAAGAAGTTACACATCTTGGTGACTAACACCCCACCTAAGATTGCAGCTTCAGGCTTTTCTACACATCTCTCTAAACTCTCTTATCTCGAATTGCACCTAGAGATACTAAGAACGCACAAAATTGGAAAAGAAAGCAGCACAGATAATCTTAATTGGCTAACTTCCCTAGTAAGACAAAGCACAAACATACATTCAAAGAAAAAAAAATCAGGGAACTGAACATTGCCACTACAACATGCATTAGACACGCCTGACATTGGTTCTGAGCTACTTTTACAGGATGCAGTGGCTTCACAACTGAGTTCTACCCAGGAAAACAGTCCGGAGTTTAGATCTCCAAATTGAATTCATGTGCAACACACAAAGTACATGTCTAAGTAACAGTTTCATTTTAAGGGGGGGGAGATGTGGGAGAGCTCTGCTTAAAGATTGCACTGCTTCACTTTTCTTTTAAGTAAATGCAGTAAAACACAGTATTCCTGAATATTTATACTTGATATTTTGTACTAGAAAGTAACATGCAAAACATATCAGATTAGGTCACTATTACGCAGATAATATTTTTCACAAACAGAACTGAGACTTCCACAGTTATTCTACTCATACTGAACACCAACACAACAAATTCAGTAAGGAAATACTTTATATTTACATTATTTCTATCACTAAGTATAAAATTCAGGAAAATATTATTCACATTGTGTCACAAATATCAATCTGAAGTAGGAAGAAGAATTAGGAGAGGACAGCCTTTTCATACCTTTACAGTATTTACAGAAGGATGCTAATATAGCCTTAGACTCTTAAATTCCATTGATGGATTCTAAGCCATAGGGAGAACATGGCAGGCAACAACACTGGGAGATTAACTCAACAGCTATGTCATGCAGACTTTTGCAAATCAGTGCATTTCTAAATACTTTCTCTTTAAAACCTACTGGTTTTGGGGGGAAGTATGGTATTAAGTATCTCCTACAACTATTAATGCTGCTTCACAAAAGAATTATATTCTTCACTGTGGACCTCAAGAAAACTTACCTCTAGCTCTCTCAGGATAGTAGCAGCATCATTTGTAACAAAAAGCTTCTCCAGATGATTGATAACCATTTTGTTCATTCCTAAATGGGAAAACAATTTATAAAAAATCATTCATTATGCAAACAATATTTTGCACATGGACACTGCTTCCTTTCAGGTGTACCTTGCGTATTAAAATGTTAGCTCTGTTTATCATTTAAGAACTTTAAAACATTTTTGTGAAATAACACTTGATGTGTGGGACATTATGGAGAAATTGGTAATTTCTGAGTAAAAAGTTTTCTGTTCAGAAATACCAGCACATTATTTAATTAAATTATACAGGAGAACCTTTTGTTTCCATATATCTGGCTGAACAAGACTGTGTTTGCTATGACTATCTGCCGTGTTATTCTGTTTCCTTTAATTTTTATGCTTTTTCATGTATTTTATACCACTTTTCAAAGAGAATACAGTAACTGCTACAAAACCTGGCAAAAGCAGACACTGAGAGTAACTCAAGAACTGTCAAAACAGAACCTGATTTCCACAGTCACAAAGAAATAGTCACGTATTTGCAGTTTTAGAGCAAGTCCAATGTGTTTCCCCCAGCAATAAACAGCTGCTTCTTTGTCAAGGTATGTTTAGCCTCCAAACATAGCATTTGTCTCAAAAATGCAGCAATAATTTTAGGATTTATTTACCATTTGGTCCATATGCTGTACGAGTGGTTTGAGCAAGTTCTTTGCATGCCTGGATGTTTCTGTAGACAGCTTCTTCTAGCCCTGAATAATGCTAAAGAGAAAATTGACTGATCAGAATTAGGCTAAGAAAAAAAAAAAGCCATGAGCTAGAAATTTCTTATCAAAGCAGTGTTGATCTACTTAGTCCCTCAAAGTTTTTTATTGATATGCATTTGGTATTTCACTTACAGTTTAAACAGACACCAAACCTTACCCAAAGACAGTGAGAACTACCGTGTACACCTCAACTAGGCAGCTCAGCAAGCATTAAAAACTTCTAAACAGAAAATCTGAACAGTGACTTCACTTGCAATACAGTTTGCATCCCTTCAATCTTCTAAAAAAGTTTTGTGACATGCCAAAGAGAAAGAGAAAACAAGCAAGACCCACTTGGCGAAGGGCAAGGGTTTCTGTACGTGTTTCTTTACTCACACCTTTGTACGCTACAAAAATCATGTAACTCACTTCTACGTTCAAAATATGTGCAGTTTAGAAATTCAAAGTAGAACCATTAAGTAAAATGCCTGTGCTTGAGAAGGTGATCAGCCTGGCTTTGGTTTGGAAACCTTAAGACAAGATGGGATCCCCAGAAAGGACGTTAAGAAAGAAAAAGCAGGATAAAAAGTACTGTGCAGTCCATAAGAGAAGGGAGAAAAGTAGTAATAATGTTTACTCTCTAAATACAAACCAAACGTTTTAGATTGCCAGCTGAATCCTTGTTCTGCATAAGAAAACTCTTGCTGTTTTGGCCTTGAATTTTCCAACACTGAGGCCACTCTGGTTCCCTGTTCTGCCCCTACCCTGAACATATGCCATTCTTTGGATTCAAGAAGGATTCAAAAAAGAAACACAAAGGGGTTTCAGATCTGCTATCTTCACTTTTCCTTCAATTAAGTAGCAGCAAACAGAAATTCTTCCTATCTTCCCTATTTCTTGAGAGAGAGAGGGACTTTGGGCAAGGGTCTGGAGAGAAAGGACAAGAGGGAATGGCTTCACATTGAAAAAGAGTAGGTTTAGATTAAGTGCTAGGAAGAAATTCTTCCATGTGAGGGTGGTGAGGCTCTGGCACAGATTTCCCAGAAAAACTGTGGATGCACAACCCTGGAAGCATCCAAGACCAGGTGGATGGGGCCTGGAGCTAAATGATCTTTAAGGTCCCTTCCAATCCAAACTTTTCTGTTGGTTCTATGAATAAAAAAGAAAAAAATCCCACACCTGCTTGCTTTCTGTCCACTTTTCAAAGAAAGCTTCTCCTTTATTAAGGCACAGTCCTTCAACTTTACCAAATTATTAAGTTAACGCTAAATACAATGAAATGGAAATGAAATGAAATGAAATATATAGAAAACACTACATGGTTCAGAATCACTGACAAAGGTATTACAAAAAGTCGAGCAGGACGACCCAGACACTTCCGAATAGCTTCAAGTACAGGGCCCGGCTGAATGTTGCTGTCCAGCCCCGCGGAGATCTCTCGGAAGGGCGCGGGCACGAGTCGGGCCCCGGCGCATCCCCGGGGCCGCAGGATGAAGCGGCAGGGCCCGGCCCGGGGGAAGGCCGGGAAGCGGGATCCCGGCCCCACAGAGCTTTCTGGAAGNCGGGGCTCGCCCCGCTGAGGCCGGGCCGCGTTCGCAGCCGGGGGAGCGTCGGGCGAGCGGGTTGGCTCCCTCACAGCCTTTCTTTCTCCGTCCGGTTCGGCAGACCGTGCCGTAGGCGTTCCTCGGGTGCGCTTTGCGATGGGAGTTCCAGCAATAATGCAGGCTTCTCATATGGCCGCCGATGATAAACGCTCGTCGTAAAACTGAGCAGACTCCAGTCAAGCGTTTTGCTTAGTACATACTTGTCCAAATGGAAGCGCAGTGCATACATAGGAAAACTAAGCATCACAGAACCACAGATCTGTTTGAGTCGAAAGGCACCTTCAAGCTCACCCAGTTTCAGCCCCTGCCGTGGGCAGGGGCCCCTTGCACTGGACCGGATTGTTCCAAACCCCTTCCAGCCTGGCCTTTAAACACTGATGGGGATGGGGCAGCCACAGCTTCCGTGGATAGCCTGTGCCAGGGGTCACCACCCTCAAGGGAAGAATTTCTTCCTAATATCCAATCTAAACCTGCTTGCTTTCAGTTTGAAGCCATTTCCCCTTGTCCTGTTATTGTCCACAAAAATCAGATGAGCAACCTGATGTGCAACTTGCCAATAATAAACACTCAAGAGAGTCATTGGCAATTTATTTCATACTTGCACGAGCCTAGGTGCTCAGTGGTCTTCCACAAATAACACATGCTATCTATGAAAACTTTTTACTATTAATATGTTTTATCAAAAGAGTTAATGTTCATTCATTGCAAGTTACATAGTTCTCTTATTAATTAGTATTCTATCTGTGTTTTTTAATGATTCTTGCTTCTCGTGCCAATTAGTCTTTTGAGTCAGTGAGTTTCTTGAGTTGGTGGTCTGTGAGTCAGTGGTAACAATCTCCCCCTGCCAGATTTACCCTTCATCCAGTTCAAGCTGACCTCAGCACAATTGCTGAGTTGGCTTTATTATAGTTCTTTTGGCCAGATATCCTTGTGGCACATAAATTCTGCACTCTTTTTGCCCACTATCACTGGGTATCCTTCTTCCCTTTGTTTTCCTTGCCCGACATCTGAGATCATTAAAGCATGTCAAGCCCTAAACCTTAACAAGGCAATTCTACCAACAAGTAATTTGCTTTTCTGACACCTGGACATCACCTAGAACTTGCTTGTTAGCTGCTATCTGTTTCAGGGATTACCTCTCCCTTCTTATTGATTTGGCTTGAATGTATACAAAGACCAAACATTAAGGAATATAACTTCTTATGAGAATTTTATATATTCCACATTTTGCAAAACTGTCACTGCGTGCCCTTGTAAGTAGTCTCTTTCCCATCTTCCTTGTAGGCTCCCTTCAAGTGCTGGAAGGCTGCAATTAGGTCATCCAAAAGCCTTTTCTTTTCCAGACTGAATTCTCTCAAACTTTCCTCACAGCAGAGCTGCTCCATCCCTCTAATCATCCTGGTGGCCTCCTCTGGACTTGCTCCCAAAGGTCCCGGTCCTTCCTGTGCTGGGGACCCCAGAGCTGGATGCATTACAGTCAAGTTCTTGTTTTCCAGGGTAATGCCAAGTAATATGCTCACTACAGAACATGGTGAAGAGCAGTTTGGAGGCCCACCTGGACACCTTAACAGGTAATTGAGGTCCTGCCAGGAAGCAGTGGATGTGCTTTAAGTTTGACAGGTTTTATTAACTTTGCTTCTGTGCCACACAAAATCAAATACACTGTTTAAAGAAAAGAAGTTCAAAGCCTTAGAAATAATACTGCAGTACCTGAGCCTGTAAGCCAGCAGATTGTTACTCCACCTCTACAGCAGGCTGCCTGCAAGGTTCATTAAATCACTTGATATATGTTGCTTAAGTAACCCCAGAAGAACACAGTTTAAATTTAGTGTCTGTAATTCTTAAAATTAAATCACTTCACCCTGTAAAACAGGGTAACAGGGCAACACTTTTGTACACTGCCCCTATACAAAAAAGTAATGATAGAGGAAAACTACGTGATTTGCCCCACAAATTAACTTCAAAAAATTTTGTATGCAGTTTTGCCAGAAGTATTCGGAGGTAGATACCACTTGAAGCAGAAGAGGGAACTTACTCAGCCATGTCTATCACGACCAAGAAGTGTGAGCTTTTCCAAAAGGAATTGCTGGGGGTTGGCACAAGTAACATAACCCCATTTATCCCTCTCTTCTTTTTTCCAGTGTATCTTGCACTACACTGAAGCAAGGGAAGAAGGAAATATCCATCCTGTTCTAGAGTCAAGATACTTTATAAAGCAACTTCCATAATCTAATGTTAGCCACGGAGCACAGAGGAGGTAGTTACTCCTAAGTCAGCACACAAAAGTTTAGATTCCATGAACTGATGAACGTCTGCTAGTGATACAGCTTGAATGACTCTTTGTAGTTTGCCCTAATTCTACAAGTCTATGTATAAATTTTTCTCATTATAATCTACATTCTCTCTGTACCATTGCTGTCTTCTGCTGTCTCCAGGTATTTGTAAGGATTTTAACAAGGACAAATGTCAGATTCCGCACCTGGGATTGGGCAGCCCCACATGTATGGACAAACTGGGGAACAGGACACTGGAGAGCACCACTGGGGAAAGGAACCTGGGGATCCTGGTCTACAGAAAGTTGGATATGAGTCACAAGAGGGCCAGCTGTGTCCTAGGGGTCATCAGGCCCAGCATCACCAGCTGGGCCAAGGCAGGAATTGTCCTGCTCTGCTCTGCTCTGCTCTGCACTGGGGTAGCCTCACCTTGAGTGCTGGAGGCAATTCTGGGCGCCCCAATATCAAAAGGGTATAAAGCTATTAGAGGACATCTAAAGGAGAGCAACAAATATGGTGAAGGGTCTTGAGAAGATGCCCTGCAAGGAGTGGCTGAGGTCACTTGGCTTGCCCAGCCTGGAGGAGAGGGTGACTGATAGGTGTAGTCATTTAGGAATGGTACTCTCCAATTTATTGCTTCCACTGAAACCGTGCACTCACTGTCCTTCCTTCCCACCCTACCCTACCACATGGTGGGCTAGAGAGGAGAACAGGCAGCACAAAAGGTAAAGATCACAGGTTGAGGTAAGAACAATTTATTGGAAACTCCAATGAGTTCAGAAAACAAACACTAACAGCAACAATACTTCTGACAGAGGAAATCAGCAATCCACACAGAAACTCCCCAATAGTAGACAATACCTGGCTGTTCCCTCCACAGCACTTACTCAACTGATCCTCAGTGATCCTTGTGGGTCCCTTCCAGCTCAGGATACTCTACTATATTATGATTTCTGAACTGCCCTCTTCGTACAGTGCTTTTATCAAAGCTTGTGCTACCTACATTTTCTAAAGCCAGAATACCACTAAAATCATAATAGATACATATGCTTGTGACTATGAATATAGAAAATAAATATGTATTAAGCTGTATTGAATTAACACTAAAACATCTCTTTGTGTTACAAACAGGATTTATTTGGGACTCACTGTCTAATCACGACTTTGACTTGGCCTTGATCTTTTTTTAGCTATGCATCTACACCATTTATTTTCTGCACAGACACTGCCATGCTAAAGGACCATGAAAAGGTCAGAGGGTTGGCTATTGGCCGTTGGCTGCACTTTCACCACCCAAAACCTATAATTGTGCACATGGAAATCCCCAGCTTATATGTAGGCACTTGTTTGTCAAATTCTAGGATGGTAAAATTTTAACAAGATCTTGGGAAGTTCATAAAAATGACAGAATGTTAATTTTTGTTTGCTTATTAGCTGTGGGAACCTGAGCAGTGGAAAAGAAGGGTTTGAAAAGCATCTGCTGAAGTGTGAGTAGAACAATTGTATTTCATCAATAATACTGGCCAGTGAAAAAAATGCGAGTGGCATCTTGAGGGAAGGCTAAGGTCCATGCTGAGTTTGCAGAGAATCATGCTTAAACCAGAAAATCGTGAACCACATAGTGCTGAACATTCAGAATAATTCTCTTAGTAACAGTAGCAGCAGTTACTTTAGCTTTCCCCCAGACTGTATTTATGTGACTTGTAATATAATGGGAAGGAACTAATCAACTAGACTAATCAACTAGACTAATCAACTAGAGTACATCCAATCAGCTAAGTACTACTTTGTTCATTGTTCTACAGGTCCTGGGTTAAACACTACCCTCATCCTGGGCTTCTCTCACTTGTGCAGAGGATTTCAAGCTAAACAGGAAAGCAAGATTTCCTTACCATTTGGTATTCTTACCTCAGTGTATGCTCTCTCTGCTACAGCTCAATCCAGTTAGCTTGAGTCACAGGAAAGCATTTCTGGAGATTTTAGAGGAGTACTGCCTTAGCATGGAAATGTTCAAAAGACTTTTAGATGAGGCACTGAGAGATGTGGTTTAGTGGTGGGTTTGGTACTGTGGGGGCAACAGCTGGACACAATGGTATTAGAGGTCTTTTGAAACCTAAATGATTCTGTGATTCTACCTGCACAAGTGACAAGAATTCAGAAGTTCCTCAAAACAAGCAAATTGGAAAGGGTCATAGTCTCAGAAAGGAATCAATGATGTTTATATTGAGACTGTATTGCAGGTACAATCAAGACACGTGTTGTGACACTGATACAGTACTCAACAAAATGTACTCCAAGAGTTTATCTCATGAGAAAGCAAAATTGTTGAGATCCTTCTTGTTTTGCTGTCATAAGAAAAAAGAAAAAAAGCATAATTGGGTAAAAATGACATGTCCTCTAGATGGTGAGTTCTGTTTTGATTGAGGAAATTAAATGCGGGATCAGATAAGGGCTAGTGAAACACCTCTCTTCAATTTTCAGCTTGGTCATATGGGAACTCTTGTCCAGTGGAGTGCACAAAAGCCTGGAAATACCTGGAAATACATACCTGCTGCTACTGAAAGTTCAGCTGTTCTTGTCAGGTGGGAAGGACTTACCAGGACCTATGTGGTGATGGAAACTTGGAGAACACCAAACCAAGGAGTGAGGGAAACAGGAGTTTTAAGCTGTAATTGGAAAAGATAGGAAATAGCGGAAGAGAGGGGAAAACTTGGCATTGAATGAATGAAGACTTCGGCAGAAATAACACCCAAATTAAGTAATGAAGAGTAGAATAACTAACATCTATCTGCAGCCTCCTGGAAACAAGCTGTTAACACACCTGATTTGCACAACTTTCTGCTCTGAAAACACTAAGCAAAAAAATATGTGGCTAAAAAGGCAGGATTCTGAGATCAAGACCACAACTTAAGCTGTCTAGTACCTGAGCCACTATTATTTATTGTGGTCTTCTTTCTTCACTTTGTCATATCATGACTTTGATGCCCAATTTGGAATTTTCTAAGGATGGTCTGAACCAGTACTAGATCTTCAGCACAGAGACAGAGGCTTTTCCAATCTTTAATACTTTGTTTCTCTGCCTAAATAATTTTAAAGACCTTCCCCAAGTAACTAAAAATTTCATTTCTCATACTGTCCCATATTATCCCTCATATTATCATTTGAGGATTAATATTAGGATTGTTCGTCATGTGTCATCTGAATATACCTGTTGAGATGTTCATTCTCCAGAGCTCAGATCAGTCTTCTGGCCCAGGGTCTGCATGCACACTGTCCTTCTTGCTGCCAGCATGGAGTGTGACCTACCAGCATGACCTGGGGAACTTTAGCGTGTCCCTTTATTTCCTGGCTACTCTGTCAGCCCCATGTATCCACCAGCAGCTCAGAAATTGGCCTGAATCAAAAAATTGGTTGTGAATCAAAATAACACTAAAGACATGCCTGCAGCCCTCATTTCTGCTCTGCGAAGCCTGCCCAGCTGTAACTAAGAACCATAGCTCGCACTATGGAAAATGCATAGTCTTTCCTGCCTGGTTCTTGGGGTGTTTAAAGAAATGTTAATGAATAAGTGCTGTGCACTTATGCAAAGCAGGAGATTACCACACCACGCTGCATGAATAAGGGAATCATGCCATGATGTAGTATGGGCCAAGAGCCACGGAGTGGATTCATTAGTACCACTAAGTGGAGACTATCACATGGGTCTTGTTCTCAGTCTTGCACACTAAATCCCCAAAGCGTGATCTTCTGTTTGAACAGTAGATACACACTGCCCAAAAAAACCTGTTACGTTGAAGACTATTTATTTTATTTTTAAAAATTTATTTATTTATTTAAAAATTTATTCTTAAAAATGAAGTTATATATATATATATATATATATATATATATATATACACGTAAATAAGTAAAATCATTACAGTTAACCAAGGTATAATTTAAGTAGTGCAATAAAGTTTACATATAAGGAATGAGCAGAGAACATTTTCTAATAAACCTTCAAGACAAGTCATTGTTAATGTACCAGTGCTGTAAGATGTACAAGAATACGAATAAGAATAAAAAAAGTAACATCCTGATGTTAAGCCCCAAGCTCACTGATATTAGCTAACAGATGTTGAAGTTCCAAGGTGAAGGTGACATGATGGTGTTCAGTCAAATGTTGGACTCAATGATCTTGTAGGTCTTTTCCAGACGTAATGATTCCATGACTCAGTAGTATCAGGCAGGTTTCATTTCAAAACTGTATTTGGGTTAAGATTCTTTAAACAGTAATCAAGCCATAAAGAAATCTCTGCCTTTTTTCTTTTTGAAGGATAATTGTCCAAATACTTCTGCATCATCAGTATTGCCTATCTTAGTAACTCTATAGGCTAGGTGTTCATTGCTTATCAAAAATAGATTTTATCTGTGGTGGACTTGAGCATCCTTTTTATTTATTTTTTTTTTTAACATTGTCTAGTAAAGTGAATGTCTGAATGTTTATCGTGCATCCTTATGGCCCAGGTTCTGAGTTCTATCTACTAAAATGTGGACATCAAAGAGAAGACTGAGAAGAGAACTCATTGCAGTCTACAACTTCCTCAAATCAAGGGGAAGTGGAGGGAAAGCACCAATCTCTTGACTCTGGTGATTGGTGAGAGGACCTGAGGGAACAGAATGAAGCTGTGTCAGGGAAGGTTTAGGCTGGATATTAGAAAGTTGTCTTTTCCCTGAAGCTGTGCTTCCATGATTCTAATCCTTTACAATACAGTGTAACCAGCAATTTGAATTGAATTTTTGTTACTGTACAATGTATGTACAATGCATGTACAAAAAAAACTACAAAGGAAAATGTTCTGTTCTGATGAGACAAAGGATTATGAATTTGAGAGCTAATAATTGATATTACATATTAGAATCCAAGCTGAAATGGTGAAAGAGTGGCATGTACAATATTTTTACTGTTGAAGTTTTTTTTAATGATTTTACCCACTGATGATGTAGGTTAAGTTACTAATAACAGTGTGGCTTATTCAGTTAATCTATTGTCAGATTTAGGAGTTACAATAAGGTATACCAGACTGTCAGTAGAGTGAAAACAAGAGAAATCTTAGAACAAGTGGGATTACAAATTGTATCACACCATTGTATGATGTATGGTTCCAAAAGGTTGAAAATGTCTTGCAAACTTCTCTAAAAAATCTAGCTCTAAAGAATAGATTGTTTTCCATTGGTCATGTATCTCTACTTGTCTGTGTTAGAGGATTCCAGACACATGCTTTTCAATGTTTCTTCCTGAAATCTAGGATAAAACAATGAGTCCTTTGCACAGCATCTAACAGTCTCACAGATACCTGCTGCTGTAAATTTTGTGTCTATTTCTTAGTTTAAGGAAGCTTAAGTGAGATTATGGGGAAATTTGTGAATGGTGGTGTGAAGAGGAATAGCAAAACCTTCTAATATGTGGGTATACAGGACTTAAAAGAAAAGGGGTTATTTCTCTTTTAGTTTGTTCAGTAGTAATTTTCTAATTTTCCGTTGTGTTTGAAGGATTGAAATTCTCAAGTAATTCCCTTCCAACCCAGGCCATTCTGTGATATTGTGAATTTCTAGAATGTGCCCTCTGAGGGGCAGCATTGAAAAGCAAGTTTCACTAGTCCTGATGCCGATGTAGATCCAGCAGAGGGGATGCTGATCCTGGTTTCAGTGGTGTTCCAGCTGTGTCGATCTGGCCCATGAGATGTCCAGGGTCCTGGGGCAGGCACCAACTGGGCTTGAGTGGATATCTTTCTTTGAAAATGTTTCTCCACCTTGAAGACAGCTTTCTCACTTTCTATGTAATAATGTGAATAGAGAGCTCAAGGGGTCTCACTTTGGACTCCAGTTTATAGACTGTGTTGGTTTGAAAGACAGGTGCCTGCCAAGGATGGCGGAATCTCCCTTGGAATGGAGAATATGACCCCCTGCCCTCCAAACCACTATAACTTCAAAATTATGGGGCTTTCAGGTAAAGAAATGGGAAAAGGAGTAACAGTTTTTTGCTGGAATATATACATATATATACATATACATATATATAATATAAATATATTTGAATTTTAAATATATGTATATACACATATGTAATATGCATACAATATAAATATATGCTTATAAATAATAATATATAATGTATATGATACAATTTAATTTGTGTTATTATATATATCATATATAATATGTACATGTTTATATATTATATATGTGTATATATTATATATATATTACTTTATATATATATACTATATAATTATTATTTTTTTTTAATAAATAACAAGGCAAACAAACAGCAACAACAGCAGTAACAACAAACAGGAAAACAACCAGAGACCCAGTCAGTAGAAGCCTTCTCTGGGCTGTCAGGCCCTCTCCCGTGGGTGCAGTTCCAGGCAGGGCCGGCAGGGGCGCTGGTGGCTCTGGGCCGGGCGGGTGCGGTGATTCCCCCACGCCGGCAGGGGGCGCTGTGGCGCGGGCTCAGCCGCCTCTCTCCACACGCTCAGTGGCGCCTCAGCCGGTGTGAGGGGGAGATGCGGATACCCCTGCAAACCCACAGTGGGCAGCCAGTCTCAGGGGCACTCCGGATGGCAAAACAGACCGGAGCAGGAACCTCAGAGAGCAGGCTGGAACAGCAGCGGTGAGCACCCCCAGGGTGGCAAAACAAATGCTCTGGGGATGTGCCAGGAACCACAGGGTATCCACAGAGCGGTCATAAGATAACAGGTTCAAGTGTAGCAAAAAGGCCAAAGCAGAAAACAGCGGGGCTGGGCAGCAGCAATTCGGAGATGCTCCGTCAGAGGCGGGTGGGGGAAGGTGTCTCGGGTTTTCCCCTGGGGCACTCCAGTAGGTGGTGAGGGTCCTTCCCAGTGAGCTCAGGGGTTGAAAAAGTCCCAGTTCAATGGCCACTCTTAGGAGCAAAGGGTCACCCACGGTAGGAGAAGCAGTAAAGGGCTGACCTCCATGGTGGCTGTAAATTCTCCCCTACAGTGGCACCATTCACCTCCAAGCCTGAGAGCGAGAGGGAGCAAGGAGCTGAGCACAGCCCCTGTGGCATGTCCCCCCTGCCACCGCCAAAATCTTCAGGGTGTCTCTGCACTTTCCAAGAAAAATCTCCCCAGCCAAGAGACAGCAACAAACCGCACCCTTCCCCCTCCTCCTCCTCCCGACCACATCTTTTGTCTCCCAAGTAGCCATCTTCCAAGTTACCATCTCTTAGGCAACAAATATGAGAAAATTCCCTGAGAGAAAGTAAAAAATAGAAGGAAAAATCCTAACCTTCAATAGAGTCAATAGAGAGTGGACTTCAGTATGCATTAGCCCCTTATAATTGAGAGCTCTAAGCAACTCATTTTGAACTACTGTTTATAGAGTTGGAAGAGAATGGGCTTTAGTCATTAGCAATTTTTCATCCTGGCTTCAATTCAGGTCAAGGAGTTTCTTTCAGGATTCAGTAACAAAAATATTATTCCACTTGAACTATGATTCAGGCAAGAAAAATAAATTTCCAAGGCTGTGCGTTGAAAAAATTGGTACTTGCTAGACACCACCATTTGCTGGGAACAATATTTCTGATAAGCTCAAGAGGGGGTTAGCCCAGGTGCAGTTCATCAAGGCTGATGTCTAATGAGCGTCAGATCATAGTGTGACCTGGGCAGGAGGACACACCAGCATAATCCATCCCACAGCTAAAGTCAGCTTCTCTGGGCCTCTGCAGTGGGTCACTTAATACTGGAATATTCTGGAGTCTTAATATGACTGACTGGCTTAGTCCTGTACATTAGATCACAAGAATATCTGCTTCTTCCCTAATAAATTCCTGTAACAAGAGGAAAAATGTGGTATTACTCATGAAAGAGCAGTACTGCTTAGTCCTCCACTTGCAATCAGCTTCAGGGTGATCATTTATGAAAAGCAAAGTTCAAGGGCTATTTTAACCCCCTCTGAAAAAGCAGCACTTCACTGTCCTTACCCAATCTTTTCTTGTTAATGTCCTAGTAGAAAATTGGCAGAGTTGTCTTTTATTCTGCAGAGGAGCTGTCCCTAGGTACAATAGTCTTTGAAGTCGTCTTGTCTGATTTATCTTAGCAGATAAATCTTGGCAAAGTATTTGTTTGGTTTTTTGGTTTTTTTTCTCCTGATGTGCCTCTAGGTTTATAAAAAATAGAATGCCTTTCACTGGAATAAGCAATTTTGGCTGAATTTGGATTCATAGGAGAAGGTCGTGTGAGCATCTATCATTGCAGATCGTATCAGAGAAGTACAAATGTTCCACATTGACTATAAATGAGGAGGCGGGTCATAGGTCTGACAGATTTTGACTGTAACCATTTGATTTCTTGTTTAATATAGTTCATTCTATGGAACAACATAAATTCACATACACATATCCTGTCATTATATGATAGTCACATGTCTGATACATCTATACTGCTCTTTCTGGTTATAATATTGTAACTTTCAGGGAGACATCATAGAGTCATAGAATGATAGGGAAGGGAAGGGAAGGGAAGGGAAGGGATGTTAAACCTCATCCTGTTCCAACACACCTGCCATGGGCAGAGACACCTTCTACTAGGCCAGGTTTCTCCAAGCCCTGTCCAACCTGGCTTTTCTGTGAGAAGCTGCTAGAAGCTTCCACCATGTCTGACAGAGCCAGTCTCTGATGGACATGCTGCTGGCCAAATTAAAGAGGTTGGTAATGCCTCTGTGATTATATATTTAAGAAGAAAATAAAAACAGCACAAGGGAAGTTTCTTTTCCAAGGGTGGCAAAGCACCGCTGCTGGGGCCATCCTGGCAGAACATGGCAATGTGCCAACGTGGCCACTGCCATCTTGGCATGGCCCACAGCAAGCCTTGCCTGCCTGGCTGTCCCTGGCCAGCTGTGCTGCAGGCAGAAGGGCAGGGGCAGCAGCAGCAGCTTCTCCTTCCCAGCACCCCGCATGAGGAGAGGCGTTAAACAGCGTCAATGCCGTGGTGGCTGCCACTGCCCAAGCGGTGGAGGTGGGGCCGCATGGCCGGCAGTGAAAATGTGGCGAGTGACTCTCCAGCATGGAGAGCTAGAGGGAGAGATTAACTCTCAGTGCTGAGGGATCCCGTAGGAATCTTTGAACTGGGGGAACTTGTTGACAATGGTACCTGTGAGCAGCAGTTTTTCTTCTAGTCAGAGCAGAGGAGGAAGTGAGGACATGTAAGAGTAAACATCATGGTAGCACTAAGGTCAGTGGGAAAAAGGTGCTCCAAGCATAGGAACTAAGATTCCTCTTCAAGCCATAGTGAGGACCATGCTAAAACAAACTTTCCTCCTGTAATCCATGAAGTCCATGGGGGATGCCATGGGAAAAGTGCTCACACTGGAGGGTGAATGCCAGAGAAAGCTGTGATCCAGTGGGAGACATAAGCAGAGACAGAGGGCTTTTACTTCAAGACATATAGAGGGCCCTTGCTTCCAAACTAGAGCAGCCTGTCCTTAAATGTCTGCACCCCATGGACAAGTGACCCATGCCACAGCAGTTTTGGGAGGATTGTTTGCCCATGGGAGGGACCCCACGGCATAGCAGAGAAAAGACTGCTCTCCCTGAGCAAACAGAAAATCTTAGGTGATGAACTGACCAAAACCCCCATGCCCTGTCTCCCTGCACTGTCAGTGAAAAAGAGAGAGGGGGAAAAAAGTGGTGTTTCAAAGGCTTATTTTACTTCTCATTATTCTCCTTTGACTCTTAATAAAAAAATTACCTTATACCTTTCAGTTTGAACCTGTTTTGCCCTTGGAGTGTTTTTCTCCCAATCCTTATCTCAACTCATGAGCCCTTGGTTAATTTTTTGCCCTCTTCTCTGCCCAACTATAACAGAAGTGGGTGAGCAAATGACTTTTGTGGGTGCCTGACGTTTGGTCAATATTAAACCACATCAGGCAGCCACAGCTTCTCTGGGCAACCTGTGCCAGGGCCTCACCACCCTCACAGGTGAGAATTTCTTCCTAATATCCAATCTAAACCTTCTCTCTATCAGTGGGAAGCCGTTCTCCCTTGTCCTGTCACCTAAGATCTTTTCCAAAATCAGCTCTCCAGCTCTTTTAGCACTCTTAGAGCTCTTTTAGAGTCCCTTTAGGCACTGGAAACTTTAAGGTCTCCTCAGAGCCTTCTCTTGTCCAGGCAGAATACCACCAGCTCTCCCAGCCTGTCTCCAGAACAGAGGGGCTGCAACCCTTAGAGCCTCTGCGTGGCTTCCTCTGGACTCCCTCCTCCGTGTCCTGATTCTGGGGGTCCCAGAGCTGGACACAGCATTCCAGGTAGAGCTTCACAAGAGCAGAGCAAGTGGAGAGAATCTCCTCCTTTGACCTATTGATCATACCTCTTTTGATGTAGACCAGGATACAGCTGGCTGACTGGACTGCAAGTGCAGATAAATATCTAGAGGTGTGAGGACTTCCCGGACTATTATGAGCTGCATTTGCTGATGAGTTCTTTTTGCTAATAAATATTCTAGATTTTGTTGTTTCTAAACTTCTCCTCTGTGTCTGCAGCTGGCAGTATTACCAAAGGCAGTTTCAGTGCTGAATCCAGTGAGGGTTCAAGTATTGCCAGAATACCAGCTGTTGTTTGGGATTTTGCCACATTCTTCTGCATGCTGATTTCTTCCTCAGAACAGCAAAGCTTCATGAAAGAGTGTGCTGCCTTGACTGTCTTGTGCATTTACCCATAATAGTATGATGACCTCAGCCATCATCAAGAGGTGAGGCTGTAATATCTTGCAGTACCGTCTTCAGGTAAACTCTTAAATAAGGTAAGCTAAGTATGTCCTTCAGGAACAGCAAGTCCAGTTGCAATGGAGTGATTACTCCATTTTACATGGATATGAGTGGACTATCTTTCTCATCTAGGACCAAGCTGAATGTAATTTATCTGCACAATTGATGAGCAAAATCGATACATTTTTGTTTAAATGCTGGTGTTTCCAGTTAGTCAGTACTAGCCAATGCTGGCTTTGAACATTCAGCTGTTGACTTTACAGAGAATTGCTGCACACTGTCAAACTGAATCCTTCTTCAGCATTCCCTGCTGAGATGACCAACCATCATTCATCCCATAATTAGCTTCTAGAGGTTATTTTCAATTCTATGCTGATGTGAGTAAAGTGTGTAAATTTGCACCTGTTGATTTCTGACAATAGTGAAGCTTTTCCAGTAATATTTCTAACTTCAGCTTTCATCTTGTTTTCCACACAGTTACACAAGGGTCTTTGGCAGCATCATATCTCAAAGGCTTCAGCTTTCTTTTTCTCAGCAGAATTAGCTTTTCACAGTTTCTGCCTGAAGTTTGCTGTGGAAGTGATGGAGTTTTTCACTAGTCAGGTTTGCAAATAATTCACAATGTAGTTATTTGAAAATTATCTTAATGCAGGTGTAAAAATTTCTGGGTCAGCTCCTGTAAATCTACATTACCTTGATTAAGCCAATCTTTAATTTTTCAGGAATGATCTTCTTTATTAAACCTGTGTGATCCCATTTAAGTGAATTCAGCTATTGCATATCAATTTGCCATTAATTCTAAATTTTCTTATGTCTTCTTTTGTAAGTCAGTGCACAATGTATTTTTCCTGCTGGTGTTAATGATTTAATTAATCTGATGGAATTCAGCCATTCATGAGACTAGAGCTTTTTCTGAGTTAAAATACTACCTAGGCAAGGAGACCAGAGGTAATACCTAAGAACAATAAGAAAATGCTCTCTTGGTTGCTCCAGTTGTCTGTTAGATGTTAGATTGTGAGTGATTTTTCCTCTGTGTGCAATTTCAGGCAATACTTTTTTTTTTTTTTTTTAATTTCTTCTTGGAACATCTTCCATATGCTAGAATATTTAAAGTGTATTTTTAAATAGTGACTGGCAATCTGCAAAACACCATTTTAGTATGAATGAGGTCATATGGTACTAAAATACTACTTATACTGGGACACTGAGATGAATTGAAAGTAGCACAGCTAAAAAGTGAAAGCAACAGGTGTTTTATTAGATTGCAGATATTGGTTTTTTTTAACATCTGTAGAATAACTGATACTTCATCCTAGAACTTCTTGAAAATTTGCATGTTTCTACTACTGAATATCAGTAAGTCCCAGTCTTCCTAATTTAGAGTATATTCCTTTAAGGAATATACTGTTTTTGACTAATAAAACATGATATCCTAGCACATCACCAGTTTGATAATGTGATGCAGGACTGAAAGAATTTTGGTTGGATACCAGGCACCTGATGACTAAGAGTATTCTGGAAAAGGAACAGGGCAGACCGTGCTCCTACACACCCATAAAGACCCAAAACCTTGGAGTTATCAGCATTCTGTAATTTTCAGAGAGATGACTGTAAGGTGTATGTGCAGTCTGTCAGGGAGAAGTATTTTTTTGTGTTGCAAGAAATTGGAGAGTCATTTGTTTTAGTTAATCACCTGTTTAGTTAATTGAGAATTGTGGTATTTATCTCTACCCAAATGCTTTAGACTAGTAATTTGAGCAAGTTAATGAAGTGAAGCAACCTAGACTTCAATTTCCCCATTGTTTAAAATTGAGATCTTCCCTAGTTTACTCCTATAAAGATTATTTTTTTTTTTTAATTTAAAGAATGTTTTAAAATATGGTGTTTGAGTCCCTGTTGTTGAGAGTTTTAGCACAATCATCTCAAGAACAGATAGATGACAAAGCAATTACAGTCAAATCATTCATCCAGATGCTTCTAATCTGATCTTCTGTGTGCAGAATGCTATAGTAGTCTCACATTTTAAAAATATATCAGCTCCCATAAAGTAGTAGTTTCAGGTGACTAATAAATTATGTAAAGCACAGAGCTGATACTTACATGCAAATTTGGGACATTTTGGTTTGTGCAGTTTTGGACCTTAGCCCAGAGTTCAAAAGCAGTACACTTCACAGAAAAGTGTGACTGTGTCCAGTTCTGGGCTCCTCAGGACAAGACATGGAGATACTGGAGAGGGTCCAACAGAGGTCACAAAGATGATGAGGGTTCTAGAGCATCTCTTATGAGGAGTGACTGTGGTAGCTGGGTCTGTTTAGTCTGGAGAAGACTGAGATGAGGTCTCAATAATCCATACAAATATTTCCATGGAGGGTGCCAAGAGGATGGTGCCAGACTCTTGTCAGTGGTGCCCAGTGACAGGACAAGGAGCAATGGCCATAAACTGAAACACAAGAAGTTTCGCCCAGGAACTGAGGAAGAACTTCTTTCCATGGAGCAGGGCAAAGCACTGGAACAGGCAGCTCAGGGTCTTGTGAAATCTCCCTCTCTGGAGACATTCAAACCCACCTGGATGCATTTCCTATGTCACCTGCTCCAGATGACCCTGCCTTGGCAGGAGAGGTTGGACGAGTTGATCTCCAGAGGTCCCTTCCAAGCCTAAAAACTCTGTGATTCCATGAGTCCATGAATAATACAGATGTAACTAGAAACAGTGAAATTTAAAAAACATGGGTACAGTGGCTACAAGACATAGAATGATGTATTTAATTTGCAAATGTACATGCTATTTAAACTGAGAACAACAGAAGTGTCAGTCTGGAAATGTGCAGTGTTTGAGCCATCTGGAAAAAACCACTCTGCACTATTCAGACTTAATTTCTGTCCAAGATCCTTACTATCATGGCTACTGGAAATTTTACCTGTCTTAATGTTTTATGTAGAGAGCCTTACTTAGGCTTTACTGTAATGGCATGTAACAAAGGTACAAATACCATCTGAATACCCTCTGTCCATACAAAGCAATATCTTATGATTTGGGGAAAACCCTGTCTCCCTGAAAACTGATGCAGAATGTTTTTTGTGACTCCGTTGGAGCCAGGATTTTCTGTATCTTCTGGCAAATACTTTCACACTAATTGGATGTGGAGGTGGAGATCAATACCAGATGCTGATGATATTGAGCTGTAGAATGTTGTTTGCATTGATGGTTGTGATCAGAGGCAAGTCCATCTTCTGCCCCTTCCAAAGGAGACATTTAGGGAGGAACCCTCAATCTTTTCAGAGGCACATCAAGAGAAGAGAAAATGGTCAGTGTAGTCATAGGTGCAGTCCAGCTTTCCACTAGCTGTTTGGGCCAGAGCTCTGAAATCCTACTGCATTTAGAGACAGCATCAAGAAATACCTAACTAATGCTGTATCTGTCTGATGCCTTCCCAAGTCATTGGTGGGGTAAAGGTAGTATGGGTAGGATATTTTTGCAGTTTAGTAATTTTGAAGTATAAAAAAGGTCTTTTGAGGCCACAAGGGCAACTGCTAGCTTCCAGAGTTTTGCCCTAATGAGATCAGTCTTGGACTAGGGCCAGAAGGTGAGAGACTGAGGAAGGATGAAAATTTAACTTCAGACCTTTATGTCTTTATTTGTCCTGCAGCTTCTCTATATCTCAGCTGAGCCAAGGGAATCTAGGAATGTGTTTATACAGATCTGGGTTAGATAAACTCTTTCCATTTGGAATTTAAAGATGAAATATACCTTCACATACATTTTGAAGGAGACCCCCTTTTCAAGCACAAAACAATAAAGATATTCTGTAAAATAATTTTGTCATTTTCCTCCATTTTTCTCCATTTGTTCTAATGACAGTGATAGCACTCAATCAAAGAAGTCATGTAGATAGTACATGTGCGTGATAGGGATTAAACTTTTATTTTCATGCAACAGAAAGGAAATCTTCAGGTTGAAAAAATTAATTTCTTGTAATATTTCAAGATGTATCTATTAAATTGCTCGTCAGTAGTTTGAAAATAAAAAGCTATCTGAAATCACACTGGGAAATCCTCTGAGTTCTCTGAAATCTCTGATTGAATCAGCTTCATTTATCACTGCCATCACTGGCTGATCTATAAATACATCTGCTTTTACAGCCTACACATTCTGAAATTTACTTGTTATCTCCTCAGAAGAGAAGGGCTAGTGGCTGCTCTTAAACAATCCTGGTTTAGCCAAAGCCAACACGAAGGTAAGACTGAAAGACCAAGCCCATCAGTTGTTGTTAGCTTTGATAGTCACTGCTATCATTTGCGAGTGTGCCTGTAGCCAGTCCAAGTTGGCAGCGTCAGCCCAAGCTGATTGGAGCTGCAGACATTTTTGCTGACTGGAGTCATGCTATCTTTGCCAGTTTGCTGGAATAGACACAGACACTGATTGGGTCATGCTGAAAACATTCCTGTCCTATGAAGCAAGTCTGTTTGTATTTCAGGTTTGCCAGGACTAATGAATTAAAAATCTTGGGCTCACAACATTTTGCTGCTTAATAATGCCTGTGACAGAAGGATTTTTTACACTCCCTGAAGTGTGACAGCATCATAATCCCTCATCCTGGGCAAGGCAAGGAAGGAAAAGCAGAATTGTTGAGAAACGTGGAAAAGGGTTATCTTTTGAGACAGCAAAGCCTATGGGAAGTGCAGGTAGCAGCTTGTTGCCCTGACAGCTGTCTCAGCTTCTCAGACCTTGTCAGTTTGTTGCTATGCAGCAGGTGCAGCCTTTTCTTTTATTGAAGCTTTACTCCATAAAGGCAACGACAAGCCAAGGCAGTGGCTGGCCCTGGATTATACAAGTGCAGACACTCCGCTAAGTGAGGTAAGGCAACAGGTGTGAAAAAATCCATAGAGCTGTAACAGCATTTAATCTGAGTTCTGCTGCAGGTTTTTTACAGAGGAACAGCAGCCAGACTGTTCTATAGGCAATTGTTGGGAAGATGAGAGCTGCGAATTAAATCTCATTCAGTTCCAGGTTGCCCACTCACTCTCATCCCTGTCTAAAGAGATACTGTTCTTCATCCATGGAGAAAGCATGTGGGAAATTGGGAGCAGTTGGTCTGCATGTTTCCTAATACCACCTTGTTTGTACACAGGCTTCTTCCATCACTCTCTGTTCTCTATGATTGCTTTTTGTCATGAAGAGCTTGAGGATTTTGCAAAAAAAAAGAGCAAAGGGATAAATGCAATATCAAAAAAAAAAAATCATAACAGGGTAAATGCTGTGTATAAAGATGAATTTATTTTTTTTTTCTGAATTAAAATAAAATGAAAACTTTCTTTTGTGTTTCGATAGAATTCACCATTTCTTACTGAAAAGGCATTGATTTTTGCCCTCACAGAGTAAGCAGATGATTAAAAGAGTTAATTCAAAAACCTTGCACACCACAGAGTATGTGATTGGGATAAAATAACAGTCTTGTAGCAATAATATTGTTATGGAAACTTTAAAAACTCTAGTAGAACATGTAATTTTAATTTCTTAGGCTATGATGTGAAATGTGAAGTAGGTTCTTATGAGGAAGACCACTTGAGATAGTCAATGTCAGGGAAAAGTGTATGAACAGCACAGAACAATGAACAACATTGTTTTAAGGATTTGCTTGCCACTCAAAATCTCATCATTCTGAGGGGTTTTTTCTTTAGCTTTTATTGAGAAGTAAGGAAGGGAAATATGTTAAAGAATTTTGCATTGGTCATTCTGTTCATTTAAAACAATGAGATGTTTTGGATGTTTCTTATAAAGTGAGGGTGGGGAAGAGATCAAGAATGGTCAGAAAGTAAAAATTGTTCACTCTGATGCAATGCACTTCAACATAAAATATTTCAGTTGACTCCAAGAGTCTTTTCTTGAATCTAAAAGCATACATGGCTGCAATTTATTTGGCTTTTCTTTGCCTGTGCTCCATAGATGACAGTTCCATTTTTGTAGGTCTTTAATACTAGTAATGGGGAATTAAGAGCAATCCCTGATATCCTTTGTGTACTACCAGAAAGATACACTTTTAGCTTCAGATAACATTTATTCAAAGTAAGGATTTTAGATTATTTGTTTTTGTTGTAAGAAAAGATTATGCACTTCAAATAACAAGTAACCATATCACTCTGCTAGCTAAATATCGAAAGAGACAAAGCAAATAAATAAGAAATTCTGAAATTAAACCAAATTTGATCCTCTTCCACTGATTGCATGGCAATGATGCCAGAGAAGTGTTTGATTCACTTGTGCACCACCAAGGAAGATTATACTCCTGAAACAGTGTTCTGTTCTATTGACTTTTTGATACTGACAAATAATTCAGTATGAATTAGAATGACTTGGTAGAATTTTCATGCAATACAATAGCTACTGAAAAAATGCAAGACTACTGGCTTAGGAAACTGGCTCTTGTTTTCATTAGCTAAATGCTCTGGTGTCTGCTGACAATGAATTAGTAAATCCATTGTATTTTTCTGATGAATTTGGTTTCTAAATCTCTGAGAAGTTTTTACTGTAACTTAAAAGCATAATTGTCCACATATTTGGTATGAATACAATGCGTGCTGGATATCAGTCCAGAGTCCTAAATAATTTCTTTATGGGTACATCTTTTGCATGCAGAAAGTCCCACTGTCTTCACATTCTTCACACATGGTGCTAATGAGAAGATTAATCTTTTTTAATTTTAGCAGTGTTTGTGTTAGATAATCAAGGGGATTGTTTGCATTCAGCTATTCAATAGAGTTTGACCAAAACTGTTCATTCAAAAGGTTAAATATACATAGTAGAACTCAGAGTACAACTTTTCAGGGCATAGAGATGTTTTAATTACACTATTAGAAAGTAGCTAATTCTTTCGTTGCTCAACAATTCTTTAGTGCCATATTTGAAATGAACTAGCAGTTTTCTTAATGGACAGGATTTCATCACAGTAAAATCACTTTTTGGAATTGATGGTCTCAGAAGAAAGACGGAAGACTGAGTAAAGTCCCAACCCAGGAGCCAAATCCATGCAGACAGACCCCTACACCTGCACAGGCTTCCACTGAAGAATCACCACCAAGGTTTGGAGACACCATGAGTTTTTGGTCATGAAGTGTGTGACTTGCAGGCACAGTTGGACTGGGGGAGTATGGGTGGAAGGTAGGAGGATGAGTGCCTCCTCATTGACACCATGTGGAGTGGTGTGCACGGTTCCAATCACAGGGCAGGCTTGGGGTCATGTTACTCTCAACTCCCCACCCCTTCTTCCTTCTTCACCTTCAGAACCAGGCAGCATTGCCACGAGTCAAGGCTTGCTGAAGGGGCAATGGCGGGGAGCAAGCAGGTGAGAAGAGAGGCAGCTTCCTTTGCCATCATTCTTTCTAATCTATAAATAGCAAAAATAAAAGGAGTCTCTGCACTGAATTTCACTTAAATTCTTTTTAAATGGAAAAGTGAAATGGCGTTCCCTTGACTTTGATTTTAAACATTGCTTAGCTAGGATGGGAAAGGCAGCTGTGAGTGCATGAAAAGCATTAAAACTCATTTGTTGAATGATGTCACGTGCTCTGTAATAAATATATTTTTTGTATTATTGCAGCTGGAACAAACAAGTAAAAGCATTGACTCAAGTGCCCACATGATCACCACTGCCAGGGTACCTGCTGATAAGCCAGTACGAATTGCCTTCAGCCTTAATGATTCCCCAGGTAATTTATGGAGTTAAAACACAGTGCTTTTAAATTTAAACCACAACTGCTTTTAAATTTTACATTAACTTACCAGTGTTTACAATATCAAACCTAGTCCAGTGTAATGGATGGATTTCTTTTCTAAGTGGTAGCATGTGATCAGTTTTCCTGTCTGATAACTCTTAATGTTTCCATTAATAATTTCATTAGACTAAACCCTCTAGATTGACTTTCTTTCAGTGGTTTGTGGAATGCAATTAGGACTGCAATTAACTATCATATTTACCTTCACGTGCAGTATGTCTGATTTTGTGGAATTGTAAAACAAGAAAAGTAAAAGGAAAAATTTGCATGAGCCTAGAGCAGGAAGAGACTTTTTCTAGGGGGAAGGTTGGAAAGTGCCACACATGCCCAGCCTGGTGAAAGGTTTCAGGAAACAGGTGCCCCACATGGCATGTTCTCTGAGACAGCAGCAGAAATTTCATTGATGTTTGTCCTATCAGCTTGTGCTGAGGGAGTATTAACCTATGTACACACATGGACCCTTTGGAGTAGATAAATATTATTGGTTTGCACCTTCAATATTATTAAGAACCAGAGAGCTGTTGCCAAACAGTGAAAGTCAAATAAATCAAAGGGGAATCTGAAAAGCATCCAAAAAAAGTTGTCTGTTGCTTTTGCTAAAGGTGAGTGCATGGAGTCAGGACTGAGATGTGTTTACAGCATGAGGTAAAGGACAGCTGAAACCTAGGCTGTTAAGTGCTTTATGAGACTCCATGCATTGTAGGATAATGTGTGAGGTCACTGCCTGAGGTTTGTGTGAACAGAATCTCAGCTTGAATGCAATTTTCTATTTTAAAAATATTTTAGAATATGCATTATCTGTCCTAGCTAATTGTTGTATATTATTAATTTTCAGCTGCAATACTGAAATATAATCTCATCCCCTAAGCAAGGGAATTAAAAACCAAATATCTTCATATATAATTGAATCTAACTTTCAATTCATAAAGATGAGTGACAAAGAAAGATTGGGACAAGGAATATAAAGAAACACATGGTAATTTATATACCCTTTTTCATAAATTAAAATAACCTAGTAATTACATTTTTATTTCAGAAAGCAGTAAGGAATCATTCGCTTCTCTCAAGGCACAGTCACATGGTAAATTTCTTGCAGCAATTATAGCATAAATAGGTCTTGAAGAGAAATGTAAAAGGAAGGGGAGTGCTTTTACAAATTATGAAAAGAGAATGCTAATGCGAGACACTGAAAACAAGTCAGGGAAAGCTGAGACCATGGGAAAATCAAAGAGAGCAGAGTGGTTTGTGACAAGAGACGGCAGTAGGAAATGACAAGGTTGTGAATAGCTTGGAAGAAGGGGACATGAAAGGCAGGAAGCCTCACTTCCTTGACATTGCATCATATTTTATTTTTTACTTTTTTACCCTGCTAATAATTGCAGCCTCTCTCTTAACATATACAAAAATAAACTCAATTACAGAAAGGTAATCTTTTCCTTCTACATATTGTTAAATTGTTCCAAATGTTAAAATTGTTAATATTTTGAATACTTTGTTGTCTATATACAAATGTTCCTGCAGTATGCAATCCAGAATCTTTGTGAATACAGATTAAAAAAAACCCAACAACCAGTGAGTGCCATGTTCCCCTCTGCATCACATCCCTTTGGGGGCTACCAGGAGGTGTAAAGTAACATTATTGTTTTACTATGTCATGAGAACTTCAAGCATTTTTATGTTAGATATATTTCTAGAAGGCAAAGAAAATAAGCTTTTAATAGGTGTGAAAATTTCCAGCAAACCACAGTTGAACCAAAAGTATACAAATAAGTATTTAACACCTTTTTTTTTAAGATGAGCTACAAAAACATTCAACAGATAAACCTTTAGGTATTCCTTAGCAGGTGCTTTTTTTTCCCCCCCTACTCTTTTGTATTTTTTCACCTTTTTTTTCACATTGACAAAGATATTTGCTTTCAGTTCAAAGTGAAGTTTGAACAGGAGTTACCTGATGTTTGATAGTAAAGCATCAGCTGAAGCTCATGCACTGCTAGGATATAGTAAGTTTTTGGCAAGGGCTAAGTGGTGAGGAAATCTCTCTGACTTAAGCTTTTCCCTAAATTCTACCTCACTTGAAAGACATGGTGACACATTTCACCAAGCAAGGCTGCATTCTCCTTCCGGGGGCTGTGCAACTGCTTATGAGGAGGAACTGACAGCATAACTGGATATAAAAAGAGGAATTGGAATGTTTCTTCTGGTTAGCAATTATCTCACTGGCTAGGATTGTAACCAAGCAGTGGGTGTGAGGAGCAGTGAAAGGAAAAACTACTCTCAGTTTATGAGAAGAAGTTACTTTGTGTTAACTGACCTACAAGACCAGAGCTGGCTTATCCTGAGTGTACAAGAAATAATGTGTCTTACATTATTTGTCAATCAACACCTGATGACTGAAATTCTGGCCAGCTTTGTGAGATATTTTTGATGTAAAAGTAGAGTAATCAGTTCCTTAAAAGTCTCAGGAGCAGCCCATCAGTGGCTGCTATGTAAGAAGACAGTTATTGTGTCTGTCTCTTATTTCTGTATATGTAAATGTCTATATATGGCTCTTTCACTGAAGTTCACTAACACATGTTTCCCAGGGTGTGTTGCACACTGTGTTGTAACAGTTTAACTTAAGGTACCATTTTAAAGTAATTAATTAGAAACATACTATTTCAACCTACCTTACATCACTTGGAAATTAATGCAGCTTGAACTGAATGTGGTGTTCCAAAATTCAACTAAGTGTTCAAGAGCTGAAAATTCATTGTGGTTTGTCAGCATCAATTTCATTTAACTGGTGAAATTCAGTATCTCCTTATTTTTATCAATCTTAAAAATACATGAACTTCATGGAATTTAGACAGCTGGATTTATTTTGTGTAATAGTTCAAAGGGAAAATTTGTAAGTTCATAACTCTTCACCTTGCTTCCTAGAATAAAAGCTTGAATCTAGCTGAAAAGTTCTGCCCATGGTATGCAGTAATAAATGACTGGGTCTGAAATTGTTAGTGAGTTCTTTAATTTTAACTTAGTCTACCTCTGATAGTACTTTCCAGAAAAATCACTGACAACAAAGACAAAACATACACCTCCTAATTAACCTGACAGACAGTGGAACAGTGTCATATTTTTGCAAGCATCGCAGAATTACTTATTTTACTCCTCTTTATGCTCATTATCCTAGTGGCTACAAGGAAATTTTTGCTTTTCTAGTTTAACATGCAAGACTGTTTTGCTGTGGTTGCTTCTTCAAAAACAACCTGCAGATTCCTACCCCACCCTCATATTGGTTATAATGGCCATAGAAGTTTTCCAGCACATTGATTGTCAAACAGCAAGGATTGCTAAAATATATGGCTAAAATTTACAGAGCTATTTTCCTGAATCAACACCAAATCTACAGGGCTCAGTTCTTGGGGAATTAAATGGGAAATCAGGTGAGATATTCTCAAAGGGACATTCATCTCAGGATGCTTAGTCTTGAGTGACGGTATATGAAATAGAAGGATTTTGCTCTTACCTGTTCCATTATGGACTGTTTCTATTTTTGGGAGGTCCACAACTCTTATTATTGAGCAAGCCTTCACATCCTATTCCTGGGTGCGGCAGTGACCGTTCCCCACTATTTTATGAGTGAGGTAACTGCGAGGTTGTGTAAGGTCGTGTCGGGCAGGGCTGTGAATAGAAGCCCTGGTGCTCCACAGAGCAGTGCCAAGTCGCAGTCACTTAGCCACACAGCCTTCCAGGATGAATCTGATGAGTCTATGCTTGTCTGTCAGTATCCAGGCCCAGAGCTGCTGGATATCACAGCCCTCCCAGGGCCAAGACTGGACCCTGACAGGCAGTTTGCCACTGTTGTTTGTGCAAGTTGTGATGCTTGTTGTTCAGTGTTCAGTTCAGTTTGAGCACTTTTCCTGTGCAAGGGCTGATCCACTTACAGGATAGCAACCTACTTATGTTACCAATTTAATTCTTTAATTTAGAAGGGGAGATCTGAATACATTGGCCCACACATGTAGGAGGAAAAAAAAATAGGACCTGACTGTATAATTAAATACTGGATCATAACTCAGTTACTCAAGGAAGCAGAGCTGTGATTGGCATTTCCTAAGTTTCAAGTGCTTGATTTAGCAACCTTAATGTGCTTTCAACACATTTAATTTTTTTATATTCTATTTCTGTCTATCTAAGTGAAGATCATAGAGAAACTAATTTTTAAGATTATACTGCAAGTGAATCAGATGTTGTTCTTAAAGGATTTACTGCCTTTAGCTCACAGTTCAGTTAAATGGAACAGCCATATAGGAAAAGATTTAGGTATTACACTTCATTGTGCCAGACACTGTGTCAGTCAGACAGCAACATGTGAAGGATTTCTCTCATTTGACTACATGATGGAGGTCTGGGATGTTGGAAACCCCAGGAGGCCAGAACATGATTGAATAAGTGAAGCTTTCCAGAAATCAAGCTTCATTCTCAAATGTGCAACTTTAGCATGTATCAGGGCTAGTAGTGAACTTTTTGTACAATCAGTGTTAATAGAGTTCAGATGCTCTTTGTTACAAATGACAGTTTTCAGCAACTAGCCAAGCTGATCATGTAAACCTCATGAAACAAACATGAAAATCACACTATTTCATGCACATGAATTGAGTCTTTAGTTAAGAACACATAGGTTTTATCCAGCATGCAGGATTTAAGGGCATTTTTAAGTATAGAACTGCAAAATTAGATTTGGGATCTATGGGAAATCAGGAAATGCTACTCATTCAGAAATCATGTTACAGATATATTAAGATATATTAAGCTGTAATGAAATCTCTGATCTGATTCTTTCACATCACAGGATAGTGCTATTGAGTTTGCTGGTATGGCCATAATATGCACATGTAGGTTTTCCCTCATTTCTTACTTCCTTTTGACCAAAATCTTGACTCATTTTCAGGTGCAGTGAGTTGCTTTCTCTGATTTTAAATATATTTTTATTTTAAATGAAATAAGTTTTCAACATTCAGCTTGAATTATAAATCATTTTTCCTTATGTATTTTTTATAGTGACTTTAGGGATGAGAGGTTGTTTGTACCTGGTGAAGAATCTGCCTAGATATTTTCAGAGATTTGTGGCACAGAAAAGCCACTAACTTTTATAAAAGGGGTCTTTGATTATATCAGTGATTCTTTATAATAATCTAGATTTTAATTAAAAATTGATAATTAATTGAGGAAAGGGGAGTGGTATTTCAGAGTTTCGTGTTCTAGTTAAGGAGAGATAGAGAGAAAATAAACACAGATCAGGAGATAGTTCAGAGAATGTTTTGATCTTCAGAATAATTTCCTTGGCATTTCAAACTTTTTTTTTTTTTTTTATTTTCAGAGTCAATATATTTTTAAGGCTAGAAATCAATGTGATTCTGACTGGTATTCTGTGTGTAAGGGCAATAGCAGTTCTTCAGAAAAAAATGCAAGAGTTTGTATCTTTCCTCTTCCTGAAAACACCCTCAAAATTTTTAAGAGGCAAATGACTGCTTTAATTTGCTTTCCTCTTGTGTGAAATTTAAGTTTTCATTATTACCGAGTGGGTTTTATTGTTATTGTTGTGGTTGTTACTTCGACAACAGTGAAATAAAAACTGCTCTGGGGCAATAATTTATTTCACTGAGAGATGTGGGGAAAGGCTTTTGCTGTTCTTTTTGTGAAAAACAAGATTGCAGTTAGCTATGAGGATTTCTGTTTATTTTTGTTAACTAAATACTTCAGCTGAAATGCTCAAAAGAGCCTAAGAGAATTAGGAACTCAGGATAATTTCAAAACACTGAAGTCTGTAGCATTTCTCAATGGTGTTCTGCACATCAGATGATGATTTAAACAAGTCTTAAACTAGTATAACTAAAAAAAACCCTAGCAGCTGTTCAATAGATGCTAGGGCAAGCCCATTATAAAATGTACTATGGTATGTCATAATGGTTAGGATACCAGTACATTCTATTTTTAGTACCATTGACTCAGTCACTTGAGTTCAAAAAATAAGCAGGGAACATCTGTTTATTGAAAGGATTTCCCCTCCGTTAATTTCTCTCTCTATTCCATCCTTTAAAAAGTACTTCCAAAATTTTTAACTGGTTCCCTTAGGAGTATGATCCAATTTATTTTCCAATATTCTGACAGTACATTAATTTTCTTATTAATATATGTAATTACTGTCTGATGTTTATTCAAATTTTTTTTTAATCATTTGGAGTGTTGCTTTTGCTATCTTTTTCTGAATTTTAAAGGTGTTCAAGATCCCTCCATAAAGCTACACTACCAAAGATTGTACTGCTGGAATTGCCAAAACAAATAGCAGTTTAACTGCCACCCATGACTCTGGTCCAATATCTCTGTCAGAATATTTAACAGCTATTCAGCCAAATACTTGCAGAGCAGCTGAAGCCCTAGTCAGACTGAGTCTTATTCTGTCCTTCCTTTTAGCCTTGCCATACGACTCATCTTTCTTCTTTTAGCATGCTAGTCTATTTATATGTTGTACAAGAAAGCAGTAGCAAATTAAAGGTAAACACTTGCATATTAGCATGATACAATTCTATACAATTAAAGCAATTTAAGTATTTTCCAGAATGGACATGCTTGACATATGGTGTGAAGAAAGAAGGGGGACACTCACATGATATGGGTATGACTTTTTGGTAATGCTAGCAAGACAACTACTCCATGAAAATGCAGAAACTTCACTTTGTTTTTTGAGGAAGTTCAAGAGCTTTTGCTTTTGTATCACTATATTTTTTTTTCTTCTCTGAACATCTCTTCCCAGAGGCTGCCTGGCTCTAGCTGTATTATTGAGCAAAGCTGTGACCAGTGTAAGACAGTATGTTTATTTTTCATAGGATAAGGTGACTTATTCTACTTTCTCCCCCCAGCTTCCATTTCTGTATAACCACAGACATCAGGAGAAAGAGATAGCAACTATTTGAAAAATAATTTACATCCTAGTCTGTACTCTTTTAGAATCCTGTTTTGTTATGAGGTCCTCTTGATCTTTTTGGGGTTTTGTTGCTGTGTTCAAGTCTCTAAGTACACAGAAGGTTGCAGGATCTGAAATGTGTTAACAATTTTCTCCTGTGAGAGTCATTCTTATTTAATTTTGACACATTACAAACAACTGACTGTAAGCTAATAGTAACACTCTCCTCACCTCCCATAACCTGTAGTAAGATGAATAAAGTCATCATAATCCAATGCAAAACTGAGAGTGTGAAAGTCACTAAGGAAGAAATATTGCACTGGCGCTACCAAGTGTGATTCATATTTCTGATCTCAGTCCAGCTACTAGTGGGCAGGTGTCCACATCACAACCCTGACATAACTGGCACAATCTGTCCCACCTTTGCTGGAAGTCTGTACTAAAAATAAACAAAAATAAACAGACAAACAACAACAACAACAAAAAACACCAACCAACCAAATAAATAAAACACAGCTTGGTTTGTTGTCGTGACTGAACTAATTCCAGCCCATAAGGATTGTAATTGACAGGTTAAAGTCCTTTAAGACAGTCCCTTACTTAGCAGTGTGATGGAGAGAGCTCAGGAAGAAAAACAGTTTAGATTTATTTGTTTTATTAAATTTTGTTTTATTAAATTTATATTAAATGTATTAAATTTATATTAAATTTATTAAATTTATTATTTAATTAAATTTATTTTAAATTTATTATTAAAAATAATAATATAATTTAATTTAATTTATTAAATTAAATTAAATATTAAATAAATTAATTATTATTAAATTATGTAATTTATATTAAATTCATGTTCTACTGGACTAACTGCTTTGTTTCTTAGTCACTGCAATGCAAAATAGACTTTCTGTATTTCCAGAATGTAAACTTATTTTATTACCAACCACTAGTATTTTCAAGGATTCTACTGAGGCATCTCAAGTATAAAAGAGAAGATGTGGAGGTGTTTTTGGGTTCCCTATATTACTGTTCATATATGCAAAATAGAACTTCATCAAACAGATTACTTGAAATGCCTTCTTTGGTAGACAATGACTTCTAACATCGTGTTTATCTTTTAGATGATGCTTCCCCTGAAAACTTCTCTTTGGCATTTCCAGAACTAGATCAGCAGCTGCAGGTAAACTTTTCTTCTCTTATGACTGTTCTACTTCACATTCACTGTATTTGTTCTTATAAAAAGCCTTTGGTTTTTACATTACGGTGGAAATGTTTAGTGGTGCTTTTCTAGTCTATTAACATTTAATAAAGTCATATATATCCATAGAAGAAAACATTATCTTTTCAAGATCTACAGAAAATTTTTAGTCCAACAGTAGAGAAATTACTATTTTAACAATCTTGTCTGCTTTTAAGATTTTCTATCCAATTCCTGCAATGAGGAAAGTTCTTGTTCAATTGATGGGAGAAGGAATGAGACAGGTATTATACATCCTGATGCCTGCAAGCTGTGCTGACTGATATCATCAGCTTTTTCAGAAGCATTTCAAGAGAATCCTTTGGTGACCAGTCTGATTTTTCAGCATAGGATGATGGGCCCCAGTATACTGGACAGTGAGCAGTTGATGGCAACTCCATGGTTCACCAGGCACAAAGACAGTTCTGCATCCAGGGATTATTTCCCTTTCCTCTGTGGTGGTTCTGGAGTGTTTGCTGGCTTTTGTAGACTACTTCAGGTCATCTGCTTTCCCAGGAGCATTTAGACCTACTCTGATATTTCACTATGAAGGCAGTTGTTTCCTGACTCTAAACTGAGAAAAGCATTAGTAGACCATACATAGTCCAATAATGTCATCTTTCCTGTACCCATCAACTTGTGAGACAGCATGGGAGAGCTGCTGACTTCAAGGGCTGACACTTCTGTCCTCCTGCTCTCATCAAAAGGATGACTGAGAAAAGAATGGAGGAATACAGACCCTTCTTGCTCTATCCCTCTCATCCTGAGGATATGGCAGGTTCTTTAAGCATAAGTAGGAATTAATAATAGCTTAATATTTGGGACAAAGCAATCATGTTTCATGGCTGGAGCACTGAATTGAAAGTAAAGAACCTGCATTTTGTTTCCAGCTCTCTCAGTGACACATTGCCTAATCCTGGAGTTGCTTCATCACCCTGTTCATCTCTGAAATTAGGTTAATAATTTTTACTTTTTTTTGTTAAAGAGCATTATGACCAGTGGGTGAGGATTTCTCTAAAAGAGCAAAGTATGATTATTATTGCTGCTGTTGATACATGAAAACAAAATTACTAGCATAACATATAAGTACTCTGCAGGACAAGCAATGGTGTTTTTATTATGACTTTTATGACTTCTACATTTCTGGAACCTATAATATATTCTAAATATGAAATTTCATTATAGGCTGAAAATGTTCCTCTGGAAGCATTCAAGTGTGCTGGATAGATAATAGTCCTTCAGTAAAAGTTTTTAAGTACACACTAGCACAATCCCACTAAGTGTACCTAATTGGTCTGTTAAGTACTTGACATTTGTTCCAAGAAAACTTTCCTTTACTCACACCATCTCAGTAGGAGAACAAAGAAACAATCAAAGGCTTTCGTTCATGTAATGTTCTTTTTATTATCCTTTATAAACTCTCTTGGTAATCTCAGGGTAGCTGAAAGGATAACTTATGAGAACTACCTGACTCAAGCACTTCAAGAGTATAAATTTTTGGTAGCACTTCACCCTTTAGCTTTTTTAGTTTATGTGCATATTTATATTTCGATGCCTTTCTGTTCATCCAAGGGAAGTGAAGTCAATACAGGATTCTGAGCTGATGCAGAGGTTGCATTCACATTTAGCAATAAAAACTTGAATTTCCTTATTTTTGTCAATCTGTATCACAGCTTCATGTGATAACTATTTAATGTAATTACAACATTTTTAGTCTGCTTTAAAATTTCAAACAAGCAATAACTGTTACAAAGTTATCACTTACCTTGTTAGATGTCTTAATAATTGCGGATTTTTTCAATTGCTACAACCCAAACTGCTGCAGGTTTATCAGAACTGTATGGCATGTGCTTGCAACTCATGTCAGCTTTCAAACAGGTAGATCCTGTATTACAGAAACAAGTAAGATGGGCTTCACCAGAACCTACAGAAGTAATGAACAGTGCTGTCCCTTGTCATTCCATCCATGCTTTTTTCTGTCCCAAAGTGCATTAATATAGAGCACACACATGAAGGGCTGTGCAAATGAACCTTTTAATCAACTGTGGCAATAGCAGCCTGAAATGCTTGAATTTGTAAGAATGCTGGTACATATATTCATAACAAAAATACCATATCTTAGAGCCACAAGATTTTCATCAGTGTGCCATAAATACAGTCAGAAACATTTGAATTTTATTTAAAGAAGCAAAATATAAATGCAGGTTATGTGGCTATATAGTAATAGGCACCTTAAAAAAAAAGGTAATAACTACAGATTTCAAGCATTTAAAGAAAAACTTTGAAACCTGTTTTAAAAACAAACAAGCAAACAAAAAGCCTAAATTAGCTGATCTTTAAGCTGGATTTTGAAAGCAGCTTGAAAGCTATGTAAGTTCAGCGAGTCACTTGGAAAATCAGAGCCTTAGAATTCTATGCATGCAGGCAGCAGACCACAGCCTGAGTACCAAGCAATTTGCACCTCTGTTTTAGGCTTCAAGCCCTCGTCCTCCTATGTTAGGCCTTGGCAGACAACTTGGCTATTTGAGCAGAATTACCTAGTGGTCCCACTTTTCCTCCCACAATCCTTCCATACCTATTCCCTGGGCAGCAGCATCAGATGGCAGGGCAAAGTTCAGTGCAGCCTCCCCTTGGCAGGGTAACAAACCCTGCTGTCCAAGCACTCAGCTCTACAGAGGTAGAGGTGGGATTGCCTGGAGAGAAGGTCTTTCTAGGAGACTTAGTGAAAAAGCTAATTCCCTGTAAAGACTCTTACTAAAGGACAGTTCTAGTTGCAGCTTCTTTCTGAAGAATAAAAGTGATCAGTCTGTGTGTTCTGATGTACTAGCTAGCTTCAGACTAACATGTTTTATTTTCTAATTACTTTTTGAATGTTACATTTTCCCACACATTCCAAGAAGAAGTTTGTAAGAAAACAACTCAGCTACTATCAATCAAAATTGGTATGTGGTCAACCAGTCATGAAAGCCTCAAAATGTGAGAACAGATTAGTTTAAGCTATATTTGCAGCTTTATTATTCAAAAAAAAAAAAAAAAAGACAAAATCACACATATAACTAAAATAACTTCCTGCTAAGTTATCAGTGAAACAATACTCATATTAATAAACTTCTTGCTTTCAATTCCTTTTGTTTGCAGTATTGGAAATTATTCTCTTCCCACTGACAAGCAATACCTGCTTATTTGGGCTTTGGTGTTTTTACCCCCTCCAGTGTGTGCACCCTGTGGTGGGTAGTGCAGCAAGGGTACAAGCTGGTTACACCTGTCACTCTGTCACTGGGAATCTTTAAACTTTGCTTTGTGTAAAAGCTAGGCAGGTCCTTGGAAGGAACTTCCTTGCTTAGCTGCACAGTGACCCCTCTGATGGACACTTTACTATGGGTTATCTGCTGTATTTAGAAACATGCATCAGCATCCAAGGCCTTGTTGTTCAGGTCACTGAATGGAGAGGAGGGTATCTAATGTTAAGTACCTGCATTGCTATGTCCTGTGCGTTGCCTGTCGCATTCCAGCACTTCCTGTGACTTGCTCAGTTCATCTCTCTGTTCTCCATCAAAGTCTTTATTCCAGCTGAGAGTTTGATCCTCAGGAGGGAAGAACACAAGTCACATATGGATACACAGGGTGTTCTATAATTCTTAATCTTTCAAAAACAGGTTGGATGGGGCTCTGACCGACCTGGTCTATTGGAAGGTGTCCCTGGCAGGAGGTTGGAACGAGGTGATCTTTAAAGTCCTTTCCAACAGAAGACAATTCAATGGTTCTATGATCTCTTCTCATGAAATTGTGAGAGAGACATTTATGTCATATTCTGTATTACAAATCTGTGTAGTTAGATGACTATAAAATTGCTGCAACAGAGAAAAAGCTCCAACCATTTATAACATCAGTTTTTTAAGTGACAGGATAGTTTTTCTTGCTTTAGTAGAGTATGCTCATATAAAAGAAGTAATGAAAACGTTATGAAAGGGGCAGTGTGTTGTGTATGATATAAGCATTTAGCAGAAACCTTGTTTACTCTGGAACTTTAATTGCTTCTACTGAATGCCAGGATTCTTGTCAGACACATGAATTTATTTTAGAAAGTTCAAAAGCATTATGTGATTTTAAAGACGATGCTGTAATTTTTTTACTATGTATTGATTTCCATGAGAATTCCTAGAGCACTGTGTTGCTTTATAATTAGATTTGATTGCCTATGAACTTGATAAGTCTCCTGTAAAGCTGCTGTGATAACTTTGGTCTTAGATTATGTAAAACAATTTTATGCATGTATGTTAACATGTATGCATGTTCACCAAGTCAGAGCATCATACTAAGGTTAGAAAAAAATGGAAAATCTCCCAGGAAGGAGAGCAAAACTCAAAATTGCTCTCATCCAGTTGATAAGAATGTTTGGAGGAAAGACAACTGTTTACTTTCACAGTAAAACTAGACTAGACTCGATGTATCCTAAGATGGATATCTGAAACTGGTGGAAGAGTTCCAGTTTCACAACAAAAAAGTAGCTGCAATGTGCTATTTTTGCTTGGCACAATGTGATTTTTTTCTGTCATAGAAAAGTGAAGAAGGCCATATAATGAACAGTGGCCACATTCAAAATATTGACATTGTATTTTTCAGTTTTCCAGAACAGTTCAGCTGAAAGTTCTCAAATTTACAAAAAGCAAGACACCACTCCTTAATTAGATAAGTGTTGAAGACTTCTAGATAAATTAATGTGAGCTGGAAAAACTTCCTGATACATTTTTTTCTGGAAACTTCAACTTTTTCAGATTTTTTTTTTTTTCTCAGTTAAACAAATACATAAATGCAAGTAAACACTGGTGAATCAAAAAAATCAACTGTTTTAAAGTTTTTGAACAGTTGAGTGGCACTGTGGAATGGATAGCAATATGGAATGCTGATTTTCATATGGCAAGGCAAAAGAACTTGTCATGTGAGTGAAGCAAAAAAAACCCCAAAAATCTGAAAACTTTCATTCTGTATCACCCCAGAAAAGATTTTATTTAGAAGACCTCCTTCAACCTGCCCTATAAAGTAGACAAAGAGGAGGCCACTCAGATGTTTAGAGGAATGGAGCACCTCTCCTACTAGGAAAGCAGATCCCTTCCAACCCAAACCAAAATCTGTGATTTTGTTTCTTCATGAACTGCTTTTGCATGTCATCTTCCAACACCTTACACTTCTGGATTCTGAACAAAAGCCTAAATAAACAGTGCATATGTCTTGTAAACATCTACATATATATGTGCAGTTACAGGATGGTCTATAAAAGGATCTCTTAGCGTCTACCTGCTGAATTCCTTAGAACATTTGTCAGTGTTACAGTGAGTTACTCAACAAAACACAAGGAAAAATCAGACTTTGTTGAAAATGAGGCATAATAGGACAGTCCACCAGTATAACTTATAGCTGTAGCTTTTGTACTAGCTTTGTGAACATAATCAGAGATGCTGGCATGTGCATATTTTGCCAGCACAGGAAAATGAGGGTGGATGACACTGAAGCCTGAAATAAACAGGATTAAAAGTAGCATCTGTTGCCATTAAATGTAACTTATTTTGGCAAGGATGTTTTTTGCTTGTCTAGCAGGTATGCTTTTATTTATATTAATTCATGGACAGGCAAGTGCTTCATGAAGTAGCAAGCTCAGTCTGTCCTAAGAGGAAGTCAAAGTATGGCTGTTTGCTTCTAAGTAAAAAAAAAAAACCAACATTCTGTAAATTTAACTTAATTAAGGCCTTCTGAAATGAGTCACCTTGGTAAACTAGCAACCTCTTAACATAAAAATGTTATACAGACTTCATGGAATGCCATTGGGCATGCTGTACTGCAGTATCTGCAGTACTTCCCATTGCCTGGCCAGAGACATTTTAAAAAGTCCTTCCAGGTGGGATAGAGATTTGTATCTCTCCTTTTCCCTTGTTATTGCAGTAGAAGGTGTTTGCTAAATAAGCCTGTTTCATATCCTGCTGACCAGAAATTACTCATGGATGTTGTAGATACTGTCTCTGGAGCCTTTCTTAGAAGAGGAGCAAACCAAATTCTCCAGCTCTGGCTCCCCCATCCCTGGCAGTGTTCAAGGCCAGGTTGGACAGGGCTTGGAGCAACCTGATCTAGTGGATGATGTCCCTGCCCATGGCAAAGGGGCTAGAATTAGATGCTCTTAAAGGTCCTTTCCACCCCAAACCACTCTATGATATGATCCAAAGATATTTTATCTACTCATTTGAAAACATAATCACATTTATGTTTTAAAGAAAAATACACTAATAATTTAAAAGATTCTTGCTATAGTGCTTACTACCATCAGACAAATTGAAAAGAATTTTATTAACAGAAATTATTAAACCAATGGTATAAATTAACTTAGATGCTAAAATATCAGTGTAAGAAAAAATGTTACTGAAGAGGAAACAATAATAGGAAGGGTTTTAAAAGTCAGCAACTGGTTCTAAGTGAGACTTAGATACTAAGTTTCAGCATGACTAGATAATTTTTAGCACTCTCTATATATATCTTTTGAGTGGGAAGCTGGAATATAGAAACTGAACACTGTTTTAATTTTTTAACTGGTTTAAACCAGCTAGATTAGGGGAAACTAAACTGGAAGAAATTCCAAGGTGTTTTTTACTTTGTTTTGTTTTGTTTTTCTTTTGAAGTATCACTGTTTGGAGACTTTTCCCTTGGTACTGTTTGAAATGGTTTTATTGTGATGCACTTGTTGGTGGCTGATCTCTGGTAGATAGCAGAGATGCTGCTTTGGCTCATCCATGCATTCTTGGATTAGAGCACTGAGACTTCTATATTCAGTCCTGCTAAATTTATGCTTATTATTTGGGTGGCTATATGAATGGTGCTATTGCTCATCCACATTGAAATGCAATTAAAAGCCCTTTATGAGGGATTAGATTCATCAAATATTGTGCTGCCCTTTTCCTGGGTTCCAAAAATCTCCAAGATCAAGAAGAATGAAACAATGTGGTGTGAAACAATTCTGCTGTAGAAGTTTTACATTTTGAACATTGAATATGAGTGTCTGTGTTAAAATTTCAGTGAGGAATCACATATCAACTAAAAGTATTTGCAAGCTCCATACATTACTTACATCTGTGCTTTGGGTTATGTCTGATGCCAGCTTACCCCATCTCCTGAACAAAAATGTTTTTATCTTTGTCTCTGAATATGTTTAGTAAAATTTAAATTTCCACTTTAGATAAAACAAAGGATTACAAGATCATAAATAAGAAAAGTCTGAGTGCTTGTGCTTTTCTTTTCCTAATAAAGGAGAGGAAGAAATGCAAAATAATCTACTAATATTGTGAAACACCACTGGATGTTATTTAACTCGGCAGTAAAGGAACTATTTTAAGTGTTTCCTATTACTTCAAACAGGTGGTTCAAGCATACTATTTGGAGTTCACTTACAGTCAATAGATTCATGGTTAATAACTTAAAAATACTTTCTAAAAGTGTTATAACCAAAATGTGGCAGTCAAACCTGAAGCCTGAATTAAGATGCATTATTTTTTAAGGAGCAAAAAGCACCTACATTTAACCAAAATGTATTTTCAAGAATTCGATTAAATTTACATAAGGAGTACTAGGACAGCTTGGTTTTATTTGCCATATTTATTATATTCAGTGTACACTGAAAAAAAAGTTGATCTTGCTGCAATGACGTCAGGTCCTGGCAGTGTAAAGATATATGTGATAGGTCTGACCAATGCATCATCTTTAGCATTTACTTATCACCATTTGAAAAAGAGGGAGATAAAGGGGAAATTCTTTGAAAAGCCTTCAGGGATATTTTGCAAATCTGACAAGGAGAGTTCTGAAAATTCTCAAAATGTTTGAAGTTTTACACATATGCTTTGAATTTTTACACATATTCTTACACAGGGAACTGTTTTAGACTTTTCCCTTCCATGAAAGGCCATCACTAGGAGTAGTTGACCATATACTGCAGTTAAGGGAATAACATCTTTAGATATTCTCACAAGAATTTAGATAAATATTGTATCTTTCAAAATATGTGGGCTTTTAACTAATATTTCATTCAAAAAGCAGTGGGGTGTTTTTCTTCTTTTTTTCCTTAAAGCCTCTGCCTCCCTGCCATGACTCTAAGGAATCTATGCAGGTGTATAAACAGCACTGCAAAATAGCGGAAGAGTACCATGAGGTCAAGAAAGAAATTGCTCTGCTGGAAGAAAGAAAGTGAGTAACTTTCCCAAAGGATTTACTGTCCTATATTCTCTTTGTAAAACCCTGTTTGAACCATGAAGGTTTAACATTGTATGTTCTGACCTTATATACATATACACTTATATATGTATATACTTATTTATACACACCTTATAAATGTGGCCTTCCACTATCTGGAGGAAGCCTACAAGATGGAGAGAGACTATTTATAAGGGCCTGGAGTGACAGAACAAGGGGAATGGCTTTGAACTGACAGAGAGCAGGGATAGATGAGATATTAGGAAGAAATTCTTCCCTGTGAGGGTAGTGAGGCCTTGGCACAGGTTGCCCAGAAAAGCTGTGGCTGTGCTATCCCTGGAAGTGTTCAAGGCCAGGCTGGACAGGGCTTGGAGCAAGCTGGGTTAGTGTATGGTGTCCCCTGCCTGTGACATGGGTTTGGAACTGCATTATCTTTGGGGTCTGCTTCTACCCCAATCCATTCTATGATCCTATGATTTCATGCCACTGCCTGATGGTCACAGAAGAGCACAAGTTGGCCATTGCTCTATAGGATCAATTGAGGCCACTAAGGGCTGTCATAGTTTTGGGCCCTCACCTTTGTGGATGTCCCTTAAAACCTTCACTGACCATCCTCCAAGTCACATAACAATCCAGTTCAGCTGGTGCAGGTTCCTTTTCAATTTTAGTTTATTCAATAAACACTGCACGCTTTACTGAAGAACAAAATGGATCCTCATTTAGGCTTTGAATGTTTGACAATATTAGCAAACATGTTTCTGTGAGGTGCTTTGTTTTTGTGTACACTGGTTCAATGTACATTGGCATTTCAGGTGTTCATACCCAAAGTGAATAAGCTGGAGACTTTTTTTCTTGTCTATGGCCTGTACTCACAGCCCTGTCATCTTTTACCTGACTATTAAATGGCAAAGGGCACTCTGTGGCTGTCAGTCCCTTTCCACAAGAAACCTGAAAAAGAAGTTCAGAGAGAGGAAAGAAGGTGAGTAGTAAATCTCAGCCCAGCTGACCGTGCAGTTCAGCCAAGTTTGCATGGTGTCTTGGTTTGAAAAGGCAGGCATCTGCTAAGGAAGGCAGAAACCTCCCTTGAAATGGAAAAATCTCCCCCCTCAGAATTGTTATGATTGTGAAATCAAGGGGCTCTCAAGCAAAGATATGGGAATAAGAATAACAGTTCTTTACTAGGAAAATTAAAATAAAAATGCAGTAGTACAAAAAGCCACTGAGAGTCAGAGTACAACCTGACACCCTGTTGGTCAGGGTGTCGGTAACAGTCTGATTAAATGGTGCCTACAGTCCTCTTGGAGTGACAGATGCGGTTCTGTTGAATCAGTCATCCTGTAGAAAGGGTGTAATTTACCTCTGAAGGTGCAGTGGTGCTGTAAATGGTTCCAGTCTTCCTCTGGGAATCCAGTGCAAATGGCTGCCTGTGGTGTTCTGAGTCTCAGATTATATCCAGGTAGGAATGCTGGGCTCCTCCCCCTGGCTGGAGCATCTCACAATGGGATGATGTAATTTTATCAGTCATGTAATGAGACTCAATGGCCCATTAACAGAAGAGATCCCCCAGTTACGAGGGATGGGTCATGGAAGAGATAAAGAACACTGCCCGGCCCCGTTTTAACAGCTGGTAATAGAATACATACTTCTGATTACATCTTGCATTGCAACCCAAGACACATGGGAATCTGCAGCTGCAGAAGCAAGATGATGGGAGGGAAACTGTTGAAATCCTGTAGTCTTACAGGACTGCCAAAGAACTCCCTGAATCCAAACTATGCAGGGTAAGAAAGAGAGATATCTTTATATGGGTTGATGGATATAGGCACAACATAGTTACTTTTTGCCTAAAGTGTCAAAGCTAGTTGAAGTTTCCCACTGCAAATTCCCTTTCACAGAAGGATCTGTGTGGCACTCATGCCACAGACTGTGTCTGTCGGCACAGATGCCAACAGACTGTAACAAAAGCTTAAAAAGAAGATGTCCAATGTAATGGGAAAATGTATTTTGTGTTTGATTCATATTTGCAGTGTTTGCATTTGATTCACCATTAATTGAACTTGGCCAATCAAAAGAAATTGGTATTTTTAAAAAGATTAGAAGATAAGTATTTCTTTTGAATTTGCAATGATTTTTCAAATTTTGTTGTTTAATGTAAGCTGCTTACCTATGTATTTAGCAATCAACCACATATCTTTGTCTAGTCTGAAAACCCAAGCGCAATATAAAATATTAAATGATTAAGTGCTTGACTTTAGTTGTATAAACAACAAAGGTAGCCTTCAATCATTTGAGTTTTAGAGTCCACTAATATAAATCCATTATTATTAATACTGGCACAATGTTGAATCAGTTATGCCTATTTATGAAGAATGCTTGGAGCCCATGAAAATGAGACATTCACATATATTTTTGCACTTTCTGGAATTGAAAAAAAAAAAGTTGCTGTTTGAATGCAATTTTTTTTATCTATAAGTCTGTGGTGCTAGCTAAATTAGACAAGGTTTGCTTCTTGAGAACAGCAGGTAGATGCACAAAATTGTTTACCTGAACTCACAACTATCCTAATCAACCTCTGAACCCAGAGGTCAGCCTCTCAGTGGTGCTTATCCTGGATGAATTAAAGGGCTTCAGGCTGGCATTTTCCTTCATTCCACCAGTGGATGTCAACAGTGGAACAATGTCAGGCAGCTTCCACCACTGCCATCTTTACTGAACCTGTTCTGGGAATTCCACACCCCAGTAAACATATGTTATGAGTGGCTGTATAAAGCAACAAATGGAATTGTATTACTGAGACTCGTATATACTTTCTAATTACATATTTGCAGCCTTGTGTTCACATGCTGTATAGTGTGAAATGCCTAAACATGACAAATATCAGGGCAGCTCCCATGTGTCTTAATCTGAAAAAGTGATCCTACAGCACTGGGATCAAAGATGTTTAATTTCCTACAAGCTGGTGCACTGTGGTTACCTGATTTTGAGGTTTAACAAGCTGCAAATGCCAACTGAAGATACTTTTTCTCCAAATATGGACTGTTTATAACCCTTTCCTCCAGGAAGATTATCAATTTTGTAGTATTTTGGAGCAGGATTCATAAGACTGCCTTCCCCCATTGCATAGCTTTCCTTTCTGTAGCAGTCTTTATTAAACCCTCCAAAATTAACTGGGGTCTCTTTACCCCATGAAGTTTGGTTGAAATTGAAAGACTGATTAGAAAATTATTAGGACACATGTAACTTTACACACACGTAAGCAAACAAACCTGAACATGATAGCCTTGATTTTTATCTAAAACTAGATAGAAAGGGAATATATGTGTGGAGGCAAAAGAGTAAGTGAGAAGTAAAGGAGATTTTTGCTCTCATGTTCACTGATTTATGTGTAAAATCATTCCCAGCACCTACAGTAAGAGAGTTAAAAGTAGTTTGGTGGCTAGCATATACTGAATGAAGTGTGGATTATAATGGCTGGTGTGGCATGCATGTTTTGCATTGTGTGTGTACATATATATATATGTATTTATATGTGTGTGTGTGTGTATACTTATATATGAATATACTTATATATGCACCTTATAACTGTGGCATTTCACTACCTGAAAGGAGCCTGCAAGAAAGATGGAGAGACTATTTACAAGGGCATGTAGAGATAGAACAAGGCAGAATGCTTTTAAACTGATAGAGAGTAGGTTTGGGTTGGATATGAAGAAGAAATTCTTCTCTGTGAGGATGTTGGGACACTGGAAATGGTTGCCCAGACAGCCCTGGCTGCCCCATCACTGGAAGTAGTGATTATTCCATTTTTAAAAGGGAAGAATGCTTTGACTTGTCTAAAAAGTCTGATGAGATGCACAAGCTTTTAGCCTGCATCAAATGATGATGCATTTTTTTTTGTGCATCAAAACCAATTACAATCAAATTGAAAATATGGAGATTGTAGATTTCTAAAATTTGCCCCTGCTGTAGGTGTCTTCATTTGAACTTGAATGTATGGAAATGAAGATTTCCAATTGCCTACTACACCTGCTATCTATTGTCTATTTCCCTTAGATATTATTTTGATAAAATGGACAATGATCAAGTCCATCCCTTGTAATGGGAACAGACAGCTTTTATAATGTTTTTCAGCGTACATTTTTACCAAAGGAGATCATAAGTGCTGTTGGATGGTACCCTTGCCAGTGCTCCCAACTTCTTTCCACAGATCAATTCACCTGTGACATTCCAATGACAAGTCTCACCTGTCAGTTTCTGCACCTATGGTGCCTGCTGATAGTACACATAATGCTGAGAGTTATGACTGACAGAAAAAAAAAAGCAGAAAATTGATTGAGCAAATATTTTCTATTTATTGGCTAGGAGGAAGAAATGTTACCCTGACATAAAATCTGTACAGGTATTAGAGCTATTTAGAGAGAAAAAAAAAAAAATGAAATAGAGTTCACATAAAATAATATATACAGGTATATTTTTATATAATTTTATAAGAAATAGAAAACTGTAAAACATTGTATTAACAATAGTGAAAAACATTGAATCTTCCAACTTTTCAAAGGATTTTACTTCTGCTCAGCTTCACGTGTAATGTGAGCATCAAGTATGCCAAAGCAAAAAGTCAGTGAAGTGAAATGACAAGGGTGGCTTTTCATCAAGGCAAAAACAAAGCTTATTTACTTTTTCTCTTTTGTGCAATATAGATGGCAAGAGAATGTACTAGGCTGGCAGTAGGAGATGACAAGTCTTTCACATGAAAATGGGAAATGTAAGAGAGAAAAAGAGGTTGCATTTTCAAAAAAGGGAAAATCAAAGGACAAAACAAATAAGGATGGGAAAAGAGGTTACTCAAGAACAAAAAAGGAAGCAAGAATTTGAAAGAACATTGGGTAGATTTTTTTCCTAATTTAATCATAGCTTTGTTTGCTATCTTCACTCAGACTCTTCACATTTATGCTAGCAATACATAGTACAAGGGAAAAAACCACTCTGGAATG